CCATAATTCTGTCAAAAATTAGTTTCCCCATCCAGAGCAACCAATACTAGTAACCCAAAAGTAGTATCCATGGGGGAAATGTTCAGCACATAATAATTTTTGTTACTTTCCCAAATCCCTCAGTATTTTTAAGAAACACATGTAGTGGTATTTATAATGGAAATAATGAATATAATTTATGTATCAATATTAAAAAAACATTTTCTTAAAGGGACACTTCACTGCACAAATACAAATTAAGTATGACGGTTTAGTATATATACCCCAAGTGAACATGCATGCATTTAATTATCCATTTTTTTATTGGGTTTATACCAACAAAAACTGGTTGGAAAACATGCAGATCTCTTGACTGGTGCCTTCTAACATTGCCCAGACTTCCCAATGCAGCTCCATGTGAAGTCTTTGCAAAGCAGGTGCTCTGGGCAATTGCTGCCTCTTAAGTTTAGCTCCACTGAGCTAAACTATTCAGGAAGTAACAGGACTGATTGTCTGAATGAAAGCTGCAAAATGAAAAACAGGACATACTATTTACACATAAACCATTTCCGGAAGCTTAAGTGATTTAGGGGTCTGGCATGTTCCTTTAAGATTATTCATTAAAGTGTAAATTGTCTGTAATTCAAAAGCTAATGTCAACTTTTTGTCCAAAATAGCTGAACTGAAAACCCAGCTGATCTGCCTAGTTTTTACAATTTGACTATATTGGTCTAGTGCTTGAAATGCACTTGGAATTCCCACTAATGTATCTAAGATTTGCATAATTATTCATACCCTTTAAGGATATCTTCCACTTTTGCTTCAGATGATTGGTTGACATATTAATAAGATCACTTCTACATGTAAAGAGATATTTTAAACGACTTTTACCCTTGCTGATATACAACTCTGACATACACGTCATGTTTTATATAGCAAATTGTGTTTTTTTATGTTTTTGTTAAAGGCCTGTCTACGCTGTTGACCCTACACAGATTAAGTTTTACACAGATACATGAGTCCATACAAGTAAACAATTTAGTTAATTGACAATGTGAGGTGTTTTTACAAGGTATGACAACAAGCCTTTACAACTGCAGGACAGACACACAGCTGCAAAGTATCGGATGTTGGCTTGTCAAATCTTACTGGTTTGGGAGACAAAGTCTCACAGATTTTTTTAGCATCTGTTGTTTCTGCAGATTTCAGTGGAGCCTCAGTGCCAAAGAATTTGCACTTTACTATTAAAACAGCAGTTTTATTCGTAAACCCTAATAAATATGTTTGGTTCTTGAAGTTTCCTATTTCTGTACAGAAATTACAGTTACATGACCTAATAGAAAACACAGCAGTAGCATGATACATTGATTAGGGGCTTACAAATGTACCCATTATGCACACAAATAGCTCCATACATATACTGCATATACATTAAAGGACCACTATAGTGCCAGGAAAACATTCTTGTTTTCCTGGCACTATAGTGCCCTCAGGGTGGGGGGGGAGGGGTTAAATTTACCTCTTTCTCCAGCGCCGGGCGGGGGACTCTCCTCCTCCTCGGCTGAATGCGCATGCGCGGCACGAGCCGCGCGCGCATTCAGCCAGTCCATAGGAAAGCATTCACAATGCTTTCCTATGGATGCTGGCGTCTTCTCACTGTGAAAATCAATCAATGAGACAGCCACTAGAGGCTGGATTAACCCTATTATAAACATAGCAGTTTCTCTGAAACTGCTATGTTTATAGAAAAAAGGGTTAAACCCAGCTGGACCAGGCACCCAGACCACTTCATTAAGCTGAAGTGGTCTGGGTGCCTATAGTGGTCCTTTAAATAAACCTCAGAGAGAGAGTGAAAGCATTTATGTGTGTGTTGAGTGTGCGTGTGTATCACTACATCATTAAATAGATAAGTGGCTTGGTGCTGAAAGTGTCACAAACAAACTTACTTTAGTACTGTCATGGATTGAATGTTGTACTCAAGTATGTATTTTGCAAGCACTATACATGTTGCAAATAATTGTGACTTTCAAACGACCTTACTAAAGGTAAAACGATAGGCGGGGCCTGACTGCCATGCTGAGCAGTCGCATGAAAGAGCAGCTCCAGCAACCTTGCCATTTTTTCAACCCTGCGACCCCTACCACTACTGCGACTCTGCAACCCCACGGTACCATCATCCTGTGGCATCAACCTGGAGTTTTCTATAAAATGGCTGAAGCAGTGCATCAAGAAACCTGCTCCACGAGGCCGCTGGATTTCCCTCCTCGCAAGATAAAATCTTCCCGGAGCTGTGGCAGAGGCGGCTGAAGCATACCTTTACCGCCCTCGGTGTGAAGCTTGCGGTTAGGCTGCAACCCATGACCCCCTTCTGTCCTGGCCAACCACACTCCCCAAGGTCACACACTGGAAACGGAGCAGAGGGGAAGATGCAGTGACTTTACAAGTTACTACTCCGCAGCCGCACAACATCTTGGCTTCCATCTGGGATCCTCTGCCTGCAGACCTCCCCACCACGGCAGAGCATAGGCTGAAAAGGAACTGTGACTCTTGCTATCATACACACCTCTTTCCAGATACCCATATTCTGCCTGATAATTTCTAAATTTATGCTCTTATTTTAAGTTTACTACTTCTAATAAGTTTTAGTATTTTTAAGTCTACTACTTCTTAACTACTTCTTTTAATATGAGGTTCAGATCTCTATTAGGGGCCTTGCTCTCTAACAACCTTATGTAGGGGCATTGGAAGTGTATTAATACTCTATTAATTTTGTCAATTGGTATTGATTTCTCTGCTTTTTTTCCCCAATTCTCTACTGACATATTTTAACAAAGCATATTCTTACTTAAAGGATCACTAAAGGGTCAGGAACACAAACATGTATTCCTAACCCCATAGTGAATACCCACCATTTAGGTGGCTTGCCCCTACCCCCAATTGGCCCCCTCAGAGTGGGTTAAAACTCACCTTATTTCCAGCACCGCGCGAGTCCACCGGCGCTGGCCCCATCCCCTTGGTGACATCATCAAAACTGCCGCTTTTTAGCCAATCCAATGCTTTCCAAGAGAGGGCTAAGGGAAAACATTATATTGGTTAAAATCGACAAGGGGCGGGGCCAAATGCCCTTTTGGCCAATCAGGACCTCCTTATAGAGATACACTGAATCTCTATGAGGCAAATTCAGCGCTGAACGGCAGGGTTACCTACTGTGCAGCAATGAGCCAGGAAGCCCCTCCAGTGGCCACTTGGAGGTGTCCCTAGGGGCAATATAAATGCTCTCTGAAAAGGCAGTGTTTACATGAAAATGACTGAATGGAGCTTTTATACTCACCAGAACAACTAAATTAAGCTGTAGTTGTTCTGGTGACTGTAGTGTCCCTTTAAAAGCTGGCAAGTATACTTAGCCTGTTTATCTGTTACTACCAACAACAAAAAAGAGGCTGCTCTATGTAGGTGTATAACTCTATGCCATCTTATGCTGTGCTTTTATGCTGTGTTTCTTGTTATACTACCTTTATCATTTGCTGTACCGTATAAATTACATGCCTCAATAAAAGAAAGAATTATAAAAAAATAAATAAAGATAAAACAAGCAGTGGTGTGCTTTTGAAAGATTCTTCTCTTCAAAGTGTGCCTTGGTCCAAAACTTTTTTGGGAAAATAACAAAGATGATCACCTTAATAAAAGGATTTTGAGATATTGATAGCCTGCAGCCTTGCTGTTGTAAACAGTGCCTTTTCTGAGAAACAGTCCTGTTTAGATTTTGCAAATTCCATTCTTAACGAGTGGCTGTCATTTAGACACTAGCTTTTTTAAACTAAAATAGATGCAATTATTTGACGTCAATTAATCTATTCAATCTATTTGAAATCCTCCATCAGCTTGTAATGTATGCTGACGTTGGACACTAGGACTGTACACTGTTTTTCTATGACATTTCAATGCTTCTCTTTTTGAGAAATAATGCATTGGCGGTTGAGTTGAGAAGCATGTGACTTGATGTCTGTTCCGCTAATGGAATAAAGGTAAGGTTTTCTGGCTTTTTTTTTAACCCATTGGTGACCAGACCTTTTTTCAATTTTCTTACCGTTAAGGACCAGGGCTGTTTTTCCATTTCTGCTGTGTTTTTGTTTAGCTGTAATTTTCCTCTTACTCATTTACTGTACCCACACATATTATATACCGTTTTTCACGCCATTAAATGGTCTTTTTAAAGATACCATTATTTTCATCATATTATATAATTTACTATAAAAGGAAATTCTAAAATATGAATTTGTTTTTTAAAAACACACTTTTTTTGACTTTGACCCCCAAAATCTGTTATGCATCTACAACCGCCAAAAATACTCAGGCTAAATAGTTTCTAAATTTTGTCCTGAGCTTAGAAATACCCAATGTTAACATGTTCTTAGCTTCTTTTGCAAGTTATAGGGCTATAAGTACAAGTAGGACATTGCTGTTTCAAAATATATATTTTTTTTAAATAGTTATTGTTTTAAAGTAGAAAACCCAGGGTATTCAATATGGGTTTGTCCAGTCTTTTTTAGTAGCCACTTAGTCACAAACACTGGCCAGTTAGCATTTATATTTGTTTGTGTGTTAAAAATGCAAAAAAACAAGTGGCTACTAAAAAAAAGACTGAACATACCCCATTTGCAACACACTGAGTTTTCTTCTTTTGCAAATGGTATGTCATCATGGGGGTAATTCTCATTCCTGGGCTACCATACAGTCCCAAATTGCAATCAATTAAATTACTTAATTATGTAAAAATATTACATAAATATGCACATCGAATTTAAATATATATACATATTTATATATTTTAAATCTACGTGTATATTTATAAAATTATTTATGTAATTATGTATATGGAAATATGTATATTTCGTCTTATTTTTATTTATTTATATATATATATATATATATATATATACATAGAAATCCAATATATCCTTGCACTCACGCTTTCTGGCTGTTGTTGGCCGGGTGCTTGAAATCCAGGGAAAAATATGTATATTTGTAGATAGTGATCAGCACACTCGGACTTTGAAGATTAAAACTTACTGTTTATTAAATATCCATTAAAAGATCAACGTTTCAGTTCCATCTGGAACTTTCATCAGGATCAGGTATGTTTTAATCTTCAAAGTCCGAGTGTGCTGATCACTATCTACAAATATATATATACATAGATATATATATAATTTCACTCTAAGTGTATTTTGATATATATATATATATATATATATATATATATAAATGAAATAATATCAAAACAGAATAAAATTATATATATATATAATTTTTTTACTTATTTTTAATTATTATTTATAATATATATATATATATATAGTTATTATAAACATATATTAATAAAAAAAAATACACTTACTATGACATTATATATAAGATATATAAGATATGTCTGTATATATATCTCATATAAATATATACTTTTTTTTTTTTTTTTTTTACTTTTTTCACCAGCAGGGGTACTGCCTGTCAGTTCAGGCAACCCCCCTGCAGGTAGCACTATGGACGCCCCTGCAGGTAGCACTATGGACGCCCACTGCGGCCATGTTATAGCTCTTTCAGACAGAGAGGAACACCGAATGGCGGCGATCGGGTAAGTGCATAGGAATACTACGTCCGTGGTCCTGTGGGGGGAAGGTTAATACATAGATTAAAAAAATAATAATAATTCTTCACTGAGATCCATCGAGGCACTCAGTACACAGGCAGAGCATCGGAAGCTATCACGATCGCTTCCAGCACTCAAATTTGCTGAGGACGTATCAGGTACGTCCAAGGTCGTTAACAACTGTTTTTTGTTGGCTGTCCCTGATACATCCGCGGTTACTAAAGGGGTAATGATGTGTATAAAAACAAGGGAGGCATACTATTCTAAAAAGAGTATTTTTTTTAAACGGAATGTTATTTAAATTACACAGAAAAAGTATCTCACTACAAAACCACTCTCATCATCAGTTTTAAGAACGCACAGAGTAATGTGACTTAATAACACTCTTGAATTCAGATTTTTGGACAACTAGTAAATTCTGCATGTACTTGAAAGCTCTTGGGATAAACATATTAAATAAAGAACGTCTGTGTAGGGCTGAGTGAAAACAAATTTTGTCTCCTCACATAAACCCTCAAATAACTACCTTTATTCTACCTTTTACAACAAATACTAAAGTAAAGTTTTGGCAGAAATAATATCGGTTCAATACAAAAGCAAAAAGCAATGGAATCTTTTTTCAAATTAGTTCACACAATTGTTAAATGTAATGGACTGAGACAGGACATGGGAGACTTCAGAAAAATTACAGGCAGTAATTGTCAAAAGTTACAATATCACATAATGCTTTTTATAAGATTTATTATTATTCACTCTAATAGAGGTTTTTATCATTTGCGCAACCCCTCTCTACTCTGATTTTTTTCTCTGACCTGAATGATCAGAAGATTTTAAAGGAATACTATAGGGTCAGGAACACAAACTTGTATTCCTGACCCTATAGTGTTACAAACAACATCTAGCTCCCAGGTCCCCCATGCTTCCCTAAATATAATACAATCTCACCTTTATTTCAATCTGCTGCTGCTGGCTCTGCCCCTGAGCTGCCTGCTTGGCTGACATCATCAGAAGTGTTGATCTGAGCCAATCATAATGTGTCCACGTTATCAAGCCTGTCAAGGAGGCAGATCTTTAGGCAAAGCCAGCAAAAGCCAAACACAGCCCTGGCGAGTCAGCATCTCTTCATAGAGATGTATTGAATCGATGCATTTCTATAAGGAAAGTTCAGTGACTCCATGCAGAGGGTGGAGACACTGAATGTCACTGTGCAACACTGCCCCAGTAAGCACCTCTAGTAGCCATCTGAGGAGTGACCAATGGAGGTATCTCTAGGCTGTAATGTAAACACTGCCTTTTCTCTGAAAATACAGTGTTTACTGCAAAAACCAGAAGGGAATGATTATACTCAACAGAATATATACAATAGGCTCTAGTTGTTCTGGTGACTATATTGTTCCTTTTAAGAAAAATTTGTAGTATTTATAGTAAACATTTTGGCTGGAACACACCTTTTCTTGATATGAATAAAATGTCAATTGCCATCTAGTATATTTAAATTCACATTTCAACCATCTATAGCAGGCAACCTTCGGCACTCCAGATGTTTTGGACTAAACGTCCCATGATGCTTTACCAGCATTATGGGTGTAAGAGCATTATGGGGGATGTAGTCAACAACATCTGTAGTGCTGAAGGTTGCCTATCCCTGATCTATAGTCTCTAGCAGGGGTTGCCAAGAGCTCTAGTAATACATCTTTTCAGCAACTGGAAGTATAACTGTTGACCCCTCCTTCCCAGCCTAGAGTAACTCTAGACCTCCATGATGGAACGTAAACTGTATCAGAATGTTCGTTATCGCCAATGTGTGACTGCCTGTGGCACCCAGTTTTGACCACTTGTGGCTATAGTTCAGGAAGCCTGTTTCAGGGCCAGTTTGCTGTACTACTCCACAGCACAACATTAACATTAGACCAACAATAAACAAAACTAGTATCAATACACAAGTAAAACCATCACTTAGCCTCTCTCCGACCCCACAAAAAGAGCTGCGGCAATCCACAGAGGGAGCACAGGCCTAGGAGATGGATCTGAAAGGCTTCAATTAAGCTGAAAGGAGTTATCTGGTATTTAAATAATTATTGGATGGAAGGAGTAATCGTGGGTCTCTGCTGATTTCTTTCACTGTCATCTTAATGGAGGCTATAAGATTATTATTCAAATGGCTTTGAGATTTCCTTCTGAAGGAAAAGAAAACGCAAAGACAGAGAGCAGGCAGGGACAGATCATTTAACTGTCACAGGCAAGGCATTATTAGTCTTCTCTCATTCCAGCTGTCAGTCACTCATAGACGCAGCAGATTATTAGCACAAATTTTATGCACAAGAAACAGAAAAGGGAAGAGGGAACAAAATAGAAAGGAATACAAAAAAACAAGCTACCCCCTCTAGAAATGACAGGACCAAAGGAACAATTGATATGTCAATGAATACCAGCTGTGCTGGCTTTTACTATGAGGCTGATGATGCCGGAGTCTTATTTTTTCCCACAAAACTCCTGCGTTTTTGTATCTTTAGACATGGTATATTTGGATTTTCCTTTGTTTATTCTAAATACAACCAGGCTAGTTTGAACATCTTTTTTGCTATTAAGGACTCCGTGTATCTCATCAATAGAGAGTTAAGATATTTTTTGTATATAGAGTGAATCATAAATGGCTAGGTACTGGTCCGACTAGAAACTCGATAATTAAAGGCATATTTGGAAAATCAGAGTTAATTAGGCATTCAAAGAGAGCAAGGCATTTAAAATGGCAGACAAGTGCTGACAGGAAAAGCAAGGTGTGAAGGGGAGAGGCAGGTACTTCCAAGTCGCCAAATCCCAATGGTCTAGTTAGTAGGCCTGCAATTCCTGTGGCATTTTTGCTGGTGGTCCAGTTTAGGGACCAGGGAAATCGGTGTATGGACACAGGTCTCTCTTTCCACCAATTGTCTAAGTGCCGCTCACCGGCTTTCTTACCTCACACTCCCTCGTCGTGTCTTCCCCTCTCTTACCAGAGAGTTTCCATCTTCTGCAAAAAGTATACTAGTCCTGTTTTTTGTTTTTATTTGGAGTGCCAAAGACGGCATACCCTTCTCAAAAGAGGTCCCTATACGTGTAGTATATTCGCGTATCACTATCTTTTTACATTCCTTTTCCTGTGATATTGAAAACACCTTGGCATTGAACCTAAATAAAGACATATTTTTCCTTTTTTTTACCCCAATCCACTACCATGAAAGTATAATAAAGGTTTTGGTACATGTATATTGCAATGTCTATTTATTTTGTTTCTCGTGACTATATCGACCCACTCATGCTTGTGAGCAGTATAAACATAAAGAATTAAAAAAAAAAGGTTTTGGTGTGCTATGTCATGATATTGTAGAAATGCATGTTAATACATACAATACTGTTTTTGTTTTTTTGTTTTTTGTATAAATGTAATCCTTTTTACAGTGCCCTTTTTTTATACTCAATACTATTACTATACTGATTACAGCTGCATATAAACTGCCTCAGAGCTATCAGCTCATGTCCATCACATAAACTACATGTGTGAATGAGGTTATTTCTATAAGAGGTTTTCAAATATATACACACATGAAATGTTTCAGGCACGGTCCAAATCAACGTAGAACTAAGACAAATTGCTGTAAGTTTCCTAGGAATTTTCCCATGAAGGTTTCAGTGATAATCAGGCCAGACTCTTAATTTTCAGGGTGACTTTTTGACAGAGACACAAGCTGCATCCAACTGCTGGGAGAGCGGTATTAAAAGGAGGGAGGTAAATAACATAGCATATTGTATGTTATTCACGCTATAGTTGCCATTAACAAAACACTTGAAGACTAGCAGGGAATGGTTCCAAAAATAGCTTCCTGATTACATCTCAACACTTAGAAGCAACCAAGTGAGGTAGGAAAGGCTTGAAGGAGGGCCGGGGTTATTCATGCCAGTAGAGACAGATTTTCCATTAGGTATTTTAAATCTTTTAAGAAGCACTTGGCACGACTTAATATTTATTCAGAGAACCCAAGGGGTGATCTATTCTGTAACTTAACCCCTTTTCTCAAATAATCATCCTAGAAGATTTTACATGGTTCAAGGGGTTTCTAAGCCCCAGTTTTTTGCATTATGATTTACTTATTAAATTATTCCACTAGAAGTGATTAGCCACGCAATGCAGTGATGTCATCAATGGTTTATAAACTGTACATACAATAGAGCTCTAACTTCTAGAGAATTCAAAATGTTCTAGCAGCTCTAGCATACCATGTGATGATGTCATTCCTGAACATCTCATCAAATTTATTCTTCAGATGTTTTGGGGGTATTTTTACTAGATGCTATGTTATAGCATATAAAGTAATCTTTCCAATAGGCAAAATAGGTAACTTGCCCAGAGCCACCTACCTGTTAGGAGTGCTGAAACAATAGTTAATTGATTTAAGTAGAACTATCACTTCTCTGGATTTTTAATAGAATGTTTGTTTTTTATCCATGTATTATGATTATTGTTCTCTGTTTGCGAATTAAATTAGCACCGCTTTATCTTGGACTGT